GGCCCCCCCCCCCCCCCTCCTGTGCTAGGGGCCCGGGCCAGAAAATTAGTACCAGGGCCCAAGATGGGATGTGGCGGGCCTGATCAGGGCCCATTCAGCGGTGTTGTATGTGCTCGATGCAAAAGTATCATACTTTTTGAAGGAGCTGTAATGCCATATGCTGAGGAAGCCTATAGCCCATAGGAAGCCCTAGCCTTCAAGCTTTTCAAAATGTCAATTAACAAATCAGAAATTTTCGTAACGTTTAGTGTGCGATTCAATTGAAGTATACGTTATGGGGTTTTTTGTGAGTGGGGAGTTTGAATATATGTATTGTAAAACATTTACGTCATTGATAAGAGTCACTAGTAGTAATTTTCGTTGCGCGGATTGTGCTCCACCTGAAATTTTGATGAGAAAACATACAAATCAATAATGCAAAAATTCACACCTTGCCTAGTGAGTCACTCCCAAAGGAGGTATGGACGTAAAGAAAAATTTAAAATCTAAAAGTAGAGCAAAATGTAAAAGAAACTGTCCGATGTAAAATATTCTATCTGTGTTTTTTAGATGAAAAAGAGCTGGAAAGAAGGGTGCTGGACAGGATGGAGAGACTTTTAATCGAGGGATCGGAAGAACCAGTCAATCTGAAGCAGACTGGGCAGCTACCGCCATGGTACGACTCAAAAAAGTTCAAAAAGTACGCCTCTTATCAATCCGCTCCTCTTTAAAGCCACCTATAGTGTGTCAAGTCCCAATATTCCTTAAAGTCTTGTTACTCGATCAAATTGCAAACAAGTCCTTACAAAAGTACGTAATTTTGTGCGTGAAAGCCAGCAGATCCTCTGAAACTTTAATTTCTCTTAAATCTCTAATTTATGAGTTGGATTCACACATCTCTAATGCTGCGTTTCGTTTGTTCCACGTGAAATGTGTAATGAAAATATGTTTCATAGTACTAAATTTCTGACCATTTAATTGGTCCTTTTAAAATAATTGGTGAGAGGAGATAAAAGAATATAGTTATAGCACGAAAAGAGCGTGGACCGCTTTGCACTCTTAATAATTTTTTTTATCACCGTACCTAAGGAAAGAAAAATTCTTAATATTTGCACTATATGGGTACCTCTTGAATTGCTAATTAGTGGCGATCAATCGCCCTTTTCAAATCTTATTGAGTGATTAAGTTCAGACTTTTTTTGCTCCAAAAAACGTTGCGTTAGTCGTTTATTTGTATCTAAGTCTCTGTCAGTCAAATCTTCTGCTTGCAAAAGATTTATTTCATCATTAATTCAACTTTTCACACATCATTCATTTCTTTTTGCATTATTTTTGATTGTATGTTCGCAGAGGCCAGGAATTTTTTCATCGAAATTATTTTGCACTTTTTGTTTCAAAACTGGCCGGACTGATTTTACTCCTTTCAAATCAAAACATGTTACGAGTGTTAAAACTGACTAATAAATCCTCCAACAAATTGACAGCTTTCAAAAGGTATATGGGCACCATTCGGCACATGCTCTCATGGTACGATGGCGATCTTCAAACAAGCGGCTCCAGGTATAGTTAAAATAGCTGGATGGATTCGAGCAGTATTTTCAAAGTGAGGTTTGTGAGATAAACGAGAAACTGAAAACTGAAAACTGAAAAGAACAAAAAGAGGATGGGAGCCGATATAATGAGGAAAAAGAATTTGAAGCATACACGATAAAAAAGGCAGGGTGCGGTTTTTTGAAAGTTAGAAAAGGTGACCTTAAGCTCTTTTCCTTGATGAAAATCTTCAGAAAATTAGCGACAATATTTTTTAAAAATTTTCAGGTCTAATCTCTCTGATCTTTAGCTGCATTTTTAGTTTTAGTTTAAAATTACATCATACCAAAACAGCCACGTTTCCAGCGGTTTTCTGCGGTTTTAGAAAAGGCAACTTTTTGCCGTTTGGATCTTCAGTATTAACGCTACAGATAGAGAAAGGGAGAGATACGGAGAGAGAAAGGAATGGAAAGGAAAAGGGAAAGAGAAAGATAGAGATAAGAGAAACTTAAGTCGAGAGTAGTGCGTCTTTTGACGAACCGAATCATCATTTTGTATTCAGATGGTGCCATTAAGGATGCCAGTCCGCCTTCAATTTTTTGGATGCAACACGGACAGCTATAAAGCTCGAATAGTTGCATCCAGGTGTTCGTACTGATGAGACACCATCACTCTTGTATGAATGCAATATGAATAGATGGTCGAGTTATTGATTAATTTTAAAAACTGGATAAAAAATAAGTGTGTTTATATGTTACAAGAATAGTTGATCGTACTTTTAAAACATAGTATCTCAACATTACGACAAAAGCACGGCGGAAAAAATGTTGTTGATCGATTATTAATACCACATTTTTTTTGCTGAACTTCTGCCTTTATTTTGGAGATTTTACTATACTCAAGAGATCAGTTAGTTGAATAGCAAATCTCACGCTTCAGCTACACGCTGAGCACATGAAATAAATGTAAGAAAGAATCCAAAAGTCATAACTTTGCACTGAACTCTTCACACAAGTTTTGTATTCGAACTTTCAGCGCGCACATGTCCTTGATGACCGTTCGAGGGTTCCATTGTGCGGCGAGTAATAAGGCTGCGTCGGTGGGTTTCGGGCACATCTCTCAAAGAGACATGGCGTTCACCCAATTTGGCTTCATGGGCTTCAGTTTACTCAAGTTCGATATCCTTGGGCTGGTCGGAACACCAGAGGAGATCGAAGGGTTCATACACTTTTGGAGGACCATTGGCTACTTACTCGGAATCAGCGACGAGTGAGTATAACACTCTCAAAATTATTTGACGCTCTCATATTTGGCACTCTCATATCTGACACTCTCATATCTGACACTCTCAAAATTAACGCTTCGATATTTTAATAGTCTGTCTGTTTTAGCCTAACGTATTCGAAGAATCAGAGAATGAGTTTTTTGCAAAACACTTTTCTTCAAGACAAGGTTCGGATGTAAACACTGAAAAAATGGCTCAAGCATGATGATTCTTGAATTTTCCGCCAAGAATTTTTTTTCTTGATTTAAGCTGAATTTTTCTTGACATAAGGCTAAGGAAAATGAGGCTTGGGCGAAGCAAAAAAGTAGTTCATATTAAGCAGCAAAATTCTTGATTTCAGAAAAAATACTCTCTGGCGGAAAATTTAAGATTCTTCTTTTTCCGGTGAATCCCTGAGCGAGATAAAACAAGTACTTTTAATATGGATCAAAATGGAGATACTTCAGATTACACAAATGATGTAATTTGTATGGTGTGATTTCCATTTGACTTGTGTTGAAAATACTGTTAATATATCGTTCAATGGTTGATTTCCAGAATTTCCGTTGCGTAATTCGTTTTCCTCCTGAAATTTTCAAGATAACATGTGTTGCGTAGTGCCTTAATTTATACAAATTTTAGGGGTCAATTATTCAATTTTCAATTCAAATTGTGTCGACAGGTACAATTTATGCGGAGGAAGCATAGAGGAGACCAGAGAACTATGCCGAATACTGCTGGAGCAAAATTTTGTCCCCGATTTAGAAAAAAATCCGCCAGACTTCGTCGAAATGTCGACGGCGCTGATGGAGGGAATGCGGGCTGTGATCCCGGCCGTGGACAAATACGCCTTCCTGGGTTTCACATACTTCCTGTGCGGTTTGGAATTCAAACAGCTCCTCGTCACTTTTCTCAGTCGCTGCATCTGCTACTACCACATATTCTGCCATAAACTCCTGTCCACCCCGTGCCTCCATATCGTCTTCAGGCCTTGCTTCAACTACCTCGTTCGTCTCGGGATATACTGTGTCGAGAAGTTCCCCTCTATAACGTTTTTCTACTTCGGTCAAAAAATTAACTGGAAGGACGATGATCTCACCAACCTGAAATTAGTTCATTGATCATTAGACCAGTCTCAAAATTTTAGCTTTTTCATCTTACTTTCTCTAGGAAATGTGTAGTGCGAAATATTAAGTTTAAGAAGACATACAAACTCTTCTAAAAAAATCTTTTGAATGATGTTCCCATTCTGCGTTCTGTGACGGATTGAAATAAAATTGCAATTTGATACCATTAAATTGAGGCGGTGGCCGCAATTGTGGTATATCGACTGTGAAACTATCATTCGATTTCGCAGTTGGACGCAAATATAAACTACATTTACGCGCATATGCCATTATTGCTGGGGTCGCCTCAATTGCAATTATTGATAGTAAACTTTCGATATTTTCATAAAATTTTCTCTACAAATACCGATTTAAAACGAGCAATACAATTAGTCTCATGTATCAGAAAGATCGGCAATTTAGAATGCAAAGATATTATTATTTTTTCCTTCAATTTTATCGCTACGAATTGCACTAAGACGAACCCCTTCAATCAGTAGGTAGGCAACAAATACAACGCACTAATTCAGCATCGATAATTTTACCATGTATTCGCAATTCATTGCAACATTTGCCTCTCGGAATCCGTGGAACTACTAAAACATGTTGCTATTCAATCTTGTTGGATTGAATCTTGATAAAAAAATTAAATGTTCTTGAAAAAGAATGTAATTAGAGAAAATGTAAGGCAAAGTTAAAGTCGTTCTATCTGAGTTTATAGAGTAGGTGCGAAAGTTAGAAATAAGGCAAGATATATGGGACATGTTTGTATGCCCTGCTGAAAAAGTATTCAACGACAAAGGGCATTGTTCTTGCTATTTGACTAAATTTAACACGTCCAGTGTTTGATTTTCGTATTCGCAACAGTGTGAGGCTGTAACCAGGTGCCGGTATTTATTACTCTTTGAAGTTACCGATAGTTTTAAACATTTCACAAAGGAAAAATTTATCCTTGTATCACACTTAAACAAATTTTTTTGAATTTGTCATGATTTAGGCTAATATTTGTTAATAGTGAGGTTCACAAATGAAAAATTTTCCGAATAAAATTTCTATTGACACATAGCTAAAGCATGCCGATAGAATTTTGCATCTTTAATACCATCATGTTCTCAAACTTTTCAATCGACAAAAATCAAATTTAGAAAACTATTGTCGCATTTAATTCAGTCTCTCTCTCTCTTTCATTGGATAGTTTTTTGTTCATTTATTTTTTAACTGTCTACTATTTGTAATAAATCTTTTTTCAAAGGTCACCGTTATTGTGTTGTATCTCCCCCTCTCCCTCCTTCTTATGTCTCCAAGAAGGCATAATTAAAAGGGAAAATGGAAATATTAAATAATTCTGTCATGTGCATTGTGTTTTCTCCATTAAGCAGATGTGGCCCGTCTAAATTATAAAATGCGGAAAAAAGAAGTAAAAAAGAAATATCCATATTCTAAAACTCTGCACGTGAGCAAATACTGGCTTCACGTGGCGAATTTTTGAGAAGAGCTACTTTGCCAGAGCGCCGTTTTCTGCATCCTATTCGCCAAACCAAAACGCATTATATGTAAGAGTGCAATTTGTTAGCAAACAATTTTAAAAAGAAAAATAGTTATTAATATTGAAAAAATGGGGTTGTGAAATAGTCAAAACTAATTTTTAAGAATAGGGATTTTTAACTATAACATGCAATTCAATAGTATTCAAATTTGTAAAAATAAATCATGAGATACATTTTATTTGATGATCGAAGATTGATATTTGTAGGCCATTACATAATACGTAAATAAATCTCTTACTCATCACTAAATACCAATTTAGATTTTTTACTACGAGGAAAAGCATCAGAAGAAAGTTCCATGAGCCAAAACCTCCGGCGCCAGTCATCAACGATAAGAGTAAAACGGAAATAACGATGGAAAATTAGCCGGAAAGCGAAGGGAACAAGAATATCTAAATTCAAATCAAACGAACTGTTCCGTTTCCAAAGGCGCTCTCTGGGAATGACCATTTCAATCAGGGCATCAAAGTAGGACGAAACGATTGAGAATGGCTTTAATGATGTCAGAATTAATCCAACGGCTCAAATGAAAAGTATAAATTGCTGGATCGTGAACAAGGGCGGTAAAGAGCGTTGCCTAATCGTTGAACTTGTGATGAATATTTCCACTATCAGAGCTTTAAAATTCAATTTTTCACTCCATCTGGCAACCGCGATTGTGAGTCGTAACTCGATTATGGCCCTACAGAACCTCCGATCAGAGTGTCTCGATTGGCACTTGCTGCGATCAATCGGCGATGCCCGTGCATCGAATCCCTTTTTCAAGAAAGGTCCCAGATCCGTGCTAATTGATTCTCCCAAGTTACCGATTTGTTGACGATTGCCGCTTTCGGACAGAGACGAATGGGACCAGAGAGAAGGAGAGACTTAACGTTACAGTCATTGATGTCGAAACTTACAACCGAAACCGTGAGGATGAATCTGCACTGAAAAAAAATTCTCGGCGTTTTTACCACGGTCCGTTGGTACCTTTACCATCTCACTTGCTTTACCAATTATTGGTAATTTAACCAAGACAGACTGGTAAGCTTACCTAAAACCCGGTATTTTTACTTTTTTTTCAGGTAAGAATACCACTTTTATTGGTAATCAATTCCCGGTAACTTTGCCATTTTATCTCGGTAATTCTACCTCAGCCGATAGAAAATATTGGCGTTTTTACCAAGGTCCAGTAAAATTACCGAGAAAGCTCAATGATTTTACCGAGATTTCTCGGTAAAATTACCAATTCCATAAATGTTAATTTTACCAAGAAAAAACTAGGATCAAATAGATTCTGAATTCTTGGTAATTTTACCCTTTTTTTGGTAAATACACCGAGATTTTTTTCTCAGTGTGGTTGACTTTTAAAAAATAAGAGGACCGGGGTTTTGAAAACCATTGGCTTACTGCTGGAAACGCTGCCGAAACGAAATTTTCAAAATTCAATGATCCAAGATGGCGGGAGAGGCCTAAAATCCAATCATGACGCCTTCAAAATTATCTAAACTTGTAATCAAGATATCTATTTTTTTTTTCGATCTAGTTTCAAAATCGATGTACTCTCAGCTAATTTAGACCTTTATATTGGCCCGCTCTTCAACTTTTTTGGACCCGCTTTTGCTCGTTCGAAGGCTTGAACTCATACCTACTCCCTTTTCTTATTGAAACGAGAGCATTCAAATAGAGTCGAATGATGAAACATCAAAACAATATTTTTCATCGTATCTCGGCAAAATCACGTCAAATTTAAAGTGTTCATATCGGTTTACCGGATAAAAATAGGCAGTGAAAAACTTGCAACGTTGCAAATTGACGTATGAATGTAATCTCACCGTCGGTGATGAGATAATGTGTAACTGCGTACGCGCTAGACTGTGATTTCATAGCGACAGTCCTGATCTCCTGCCATCAAGTCTAAGCGATATTGCTGAAAGGCGTTCGGAGCAACTATTCCACCACAGAAGTGTTGCACAGTATCAGGCAGTAATGAAGGGGCACTAACGTGCGTTAATTGACTGGTATCGTTTACCGGTTTACCTTTAGGTGGAGTTCCACTGATCCTATGATGCGCGGCTCCTGTCCGATTGATTATTGGAAAACTTGGTACTAAGTAAAATTTACTGTAGGGAAACTTGAATTTTTATGCAAAATTTGAAAATTCGAAAATCCAAAATGGTGGATGTGCTCTAAAATGTTAGCTCAACTGTTGTTCGATCAATATCTATGAAACGTGGTGTCAGAGGGTATTTTTTTCATCCCACGCAATACGCACGCGACAGATACACAAGTCTGTTTAAGACTGGGAATAACTCCTTATTCTTATTACGTGGCTGCTTCTAGTTGATATTAGGACGCTACTCATAGCAAGAGACGTGTAATACGTCTGATTGAGTGGAACTAAAAACGTGACGTAATTGCATCAGCAAGAGTAATGCATTGTTATCATTGGGGTCATCAAAAAGATAATGACACGATGAAATGGACGTATTTCTATCAAACGGAACTATGTGCATTATGGCGTGAGCCCTGTTATGCACATATCCTTATAGGTCTCAGGGCTCATGTCTTAATGCACATAGTTCCATTTGATAGAAATACGTCCAAATGATAAAAAAAGGATTGAAAATATTCAAGAAAAACACACAATTCCGACACAGTTCTTCAAGGTCTATAAAAAACTCAAAAGTTAACGGCCTCATTTTTTTTAAAATTATAAAGCAGTGTATGCATGAAAAGTTCCAAGGAGAAGACGAGATTTTTAATTCAATATGCGGTCAAAAATTCACAGAATTATAACCGCTTCAGGTTATAATTGAATTTAGGATGATATTATGAGGAATTTGGGGCGAGGGCGAAAAAAATAGGGGTGGGTGGTGAAAACGAAAGACCTCGGGGAGGGCGAAAATGAGCAGGAAAAGAAAAAGGAGACGATGATAAAGAAATAAGGGCCGGAAAATAAATAAGAGTCCGAAGCAAGGATGAGTTGTAAGAAGGAAACATATTCGCTCTACCCTCAAACGAAGGGAGAGCGGAATAATGCTTAACGGCACTTTAATTCAATCTAAGTCTAATTCAAAATTCATGGCTTGGCCTCTATGATATATGACCGGACCTTTGTATTATGGGCCTTTGGAGAGTTCCACACAACCCAAACTCGGAATGTCATGCGTTAATTACAACTCATCGACCTCCCCGCAGTTACCACGTTAATTTTTTATCCCTCTTTTTTCTTTTTTTCGTTTTCTTTTTTTATTTTTCGGAAGGCTCAGGCGTATTAAGATTTCCTTTTTATTATTTTCTGGAGAGTTGCATTTTTATTTGTCCTAAATCCTTAAATTGAAAATCCCTTAAATTTTAGAATAGATTCTCTAGATTCTCTAAGTCGCGCGTTATAAAACAACGGATAACTGTGAGGATGGATTCTCACGGAACATATTGGTAGATTTCTTTTTGCTCTTGTTTTTAATTATATGTACCTCCTTAGAA